TAATTCTTCATTAGAAATTTACTGTACCTACATAGCACCATATTATTGTAATTATTAGGTAGGGTCGCGATATTTTTTATTATATACATACATATAGTTGTAGTATGGTGTGTATACACTTTTATTATTAAATATTTTATGTTGATATTATAAGTGGACCGCAGTGGATCTATGTGTTTTTTTTTAAGAATGTTTAACTTAAACTGAATTTTTATATTTTTCCCTGTTGTTTTGCTTTACGGGGGTGTGGGGGGTAGTTGGAATGATGGTGTACTGCGAATATTAATTAAATTATTAGGATTTAAAATTTATAGAATAACTAATTTTTACAAAATTATATTATGGCAATATTATTAAATTTAAATTTAGTCAATAGTTAATGAAGAGTATTTAATAAAAGTATTGTATGTATATGTAAAATAATCAATTCAAATTTCGAATTACCAGATTGCAATCAATTGTGATTTTACTTTTATTTATATCGTTAATAACTGGAATAAATAAATTTTGGGTTTACTTTAGAGTAACATCAATAAAATAATTAAGATTATAATTTTAGATTCCAAATTTTAACACCATAATTTTAGATTCCAAAATCTCAGTTATGCTGAAATGTTGCTTCCATTTCTGTTGAAGTATGTCTATAAATATACGTTGATTATCCCGATTTGTTATTGAATTTGCGCAATAAACTATATTAATTAAGTTATTCAACCAAATTCTCTTTTTAAATTAGCCATTAACTCTATAATGATATATTTCCAGAATTATCGAAAACTTCCTATTTTCGAAAAATTAAATTGAAAACATCGACACAAAATATGTACCCCATTTTGTACTTTGTGAATAATATTTACAAAATTGCAAAAAAAATTATTTTTTGTTATTTTTTTTATTTAAATATCTTACTACTTCTATGCTATTAATCTATATTACGATAAATGACACATTGCTTGTTGCACTACCATTTCGGGTCTAAGTCATAATCGGTTCCCATTAAGACATATTCAATATTTAATTGAATTCAATTTTGATAGTCCAGTAATGGAAATTTATTGTAAATAAATAAGTAAATAAAATTCAATATCGAAAATTAATAATTCAAAATTAAAAAAAAAAATTATAATATATGAGTAAAATTTAGTATTGTTATACTTCAAAATTTATAATAAATTTAAAAAATATGGCAATTTTTTTTTTGTTTTAAAATTAAATAATGTCATTGATCCCGACATACTTTTACTCCAATTATATGTTTACGAATTATACAAAAATATATACATTTTTTTATTGAAAAAAAAAAACAAATGATATTTGTGTGTATAACAGTTTTTCATAATGAAAATTATTAATATGCTTCATATCAATTGTGTATATACTATTTAAATACATAAGCCTCTATGTATATTTATTAATTAGAATTTAAAATGTCTGTTAGATATATATACACATATAAATGTAGGGAAATATGCACGTAAAATATATAATGTATATATACAATAATTTTTGTTTTATTTGCAGTCATATAGGCGCTTCAAACAAATATAACAAAAAAATTGCACTAAAATCAATTTTTTTGTTTTTTTCGCTTTAAATTTAAATATTATTGCTCAATTTTTTTCGTATTATACCACATAAAATATAATAATCATGAAAATAATTGTATTTTTAACCATTATTTTTATAATATTCTATTGTGTGTGTGTATATGAGTGGTTGTATATGCAATTTTTTTTTCATTTATTTTTTTTTTTTAATAATTATTCCCCCAATTTTGTATATATAATTTTTTTATTCTTTATTTATAGTTGTTATATTAAATTATGTTTTATATTTTTATTCTAAAAAATATAGAAAGAAAAAAACAACAAAAATAAACTTAAAAGAACTAAGGACTCATATGTAAAAATTGAAAAAAAATAGTATAGATGTCGCCCCCTTTACGTCATATTGTCGCTTGTCAAAAATTAGAAAAAGAGTTTTTATTTGTAGCTGGGTTTTTGTTTTTTTTTTTTGAAATTTTGTTGCTTTTCAATCAATAATTTGTACATTATGAGATTTTGTAATTTTATCCATTTTTTTTTTCGGTATTCTCACTTAAATAAAACAAAGGAAAAAAAAATTTAAGAAAAGGATAACATATTTTTTTTTTTTTGAATATTTTATTCTTATTACATTTTCATATAAAATTTATTTTAGTTTTCAATTTTTATTTTTTATTTTTTATTTTTACAGTTAAAGGTTAATGCCTCCATTTTATATTTTATTTTTCATTCAATTTATAATGTGTACCAATGTCGATATTTTTTTTTATTTATTTATTTTTGTTTTTATTATTTTTTTTTTTTTTTTTGTAATTTAATGGATTCCGAATTTAATTGGTCTAGGATCCATAAATGCAAAAATAAATGTGAACATATGAGTTTGTATGTGTTTGTGTATGTGTTTTTTTTTTTAATAAAATACAAGTATGTACCAAGAATAATAATAATAGTGATAATAAAAATTATAATAATAATAATGAAAAAAAAAAGAAATAAAAAGGAGCACCAACAATAACAAGACCAACAACACAAGAATAATAATAAAATAGAGAGAAAAAAAAAGGATAAGGAGAGTTCATGCACTCTTTTCGTCTTTTTTCTCTTTTATTTTTTTTTTATGATTTTTATTTTGTGGGGGGCTCTCTGCTATTTTTTTTTTTTTATTCTTATATTCTTTTTTAATGATTATTTTTTTTTATGATTTTTTTTGAATGGAAAAATGTCTGTCATGGCAATGTTAAGGAAGGTTATTGGCCTTGTATAGAGTGGTTGTCTCTAAGAAAAATCAATAAGTCTATAACGGACTTTTTTTTTTTTCTATTTTTTCTTGCTTTTTTTTTTTGTACTTCTCGTGCCGTTTTTGTGTTTATTTCTTAGCATTTTTTTTTCAGAAAAAAAAAAAAAAATTTTTTTTTGTATAACATACGGGAGCTTTTAGGATGAAAATGTTTTTTTTTTTCTGTATGGTATGTTGTGCTTGTGTATTCATTGTATGTGTAGTGAATAACGGTTAAGAGAGGATAATAAGAAATAATAAAAATTAAAAATAAAAAAATTTTTTTTTTTAAGTCGTTGTCGTGTGCTTGTTTTATTTTTTTTTTGTTATGTTGTTTCTTAACTTTTTTTTGCATTTGTTCATTCCTTTATGTCTGCTAAAAAAAGAAAAAAAAATCTTTATTTTTGATTTTAATTTTTATTGTTTTTTTTTCTTCGTTTTTTTTTTTCTTCTTATATCCTTTTTGATTTTTAATTTTTTTTTTTTGGTCGTCGTCTTCTTCGTCTTTTTCTTCTTCTTTTTCTTCTCTTATAATTCTCTTATATTTTCTTTTCTAAATTAAAATTGGAATTTCTTTTTACAATTTTTTTTTTACAATTTTTTATTTTATATAAACTTAATGTTGTAAAATTTGTAATAAGAATAATTTTGTTATACCTTCTTAGACATAATGTATGTATATATGTATGTAAATTTAATCTCGTATATTTGGTATTGAAAAATAAATATGATTTTGTTTAATATTTAACTTTTGTATTAATGTGGTAAAATAATTTTAAGATTTCTTGCTTAGATTTCATTTTTATAAATTCAATAGATTCTTATATATTCTTACATTAATAAAAATTTTAATCCGATTTTGATTATTTTTTATATATTTTATTACTTTACATTTTTTTAAGTTTATTGTCAAGGCAATGATTTTCAAAAAAAAATATTAAATATTGGAGCACCTTCAATATTTGAATCTATTTTTGAATTTAGTTAATGGGATGTAATAGCCCCTTACTTAGAAATTGTAATAACAATTGTATTTGCTATCAATTGTATAAGGTTAATTGGGCTTGTAGATATTATATTGTTATAATATTAATGGTGAGGAGAGTATTATTAATTTTACTGTCGTTATATTGAATTTAATAAGCTAGCAAATTCATTGTATATGGGACCAGTAATTTTCATTATAAAAGTTAATTAGTCTCAATACTGATGCATAAGAGTACATAAATACTTAAAATTTCGTAATAATTGTGTATAATCTTTTATTAATTATTTGTTGCAATTGTTGGAAGCCAAAAAACATAACTATATACAACTTTATATCTGAAGTTGCTAAAAAAGAATTAAAAAATTGATAATATTTCTGCCTCCAATATTGAATGCATATTTATTTTGCCGTGGTATACATCTAGCTGATTTGTGATATAAAATGCAGCTACATTTTATGACTATATACATTTTCAATTGGCCTTATAAGATTCTCCATGTGCACATGACAAACAAAACATTTCTAAAATTTAGCTAAATATTATGACTGTTTCTGCAACAGCAAATATTTACAACCCTCGCTATAATTTTTTTTCCTTTCTTCAATAATAAAACATCGCTGCAACAGTTACAATATATGCTGATAATTTTGTAAATTTTTAGTACTTTTAGTGCTAAAAAATAGCAGCCAAAATTAAGAATGCAATGCAATGATTCATGACATGAAATGTTATATTTTCGCACTATACCAATTTCTGCCAGTCTTTATCACTAGATACTGGAATACTGGCAGGTACAGTAATATTCTTTTTTTAGTGTAAGAGCAGTAGAGATTTTTCATTTATTATAAGTACTTGTGATGGTTACTGGCGTGGCTTATTCATATAATTAGTTTAATTATTGACAATTTTTTTAAAGACTTTGTAACACAGTTATTCTCATTTAGGTAATTTTCGATTTTATATTGAATTAAGAAATTAGGTGTTATTAATTAAAACATGATCAAAATTTGAAAATGGTTTAATAATCTCTTGACATTTCAAATAAAATTAAATAAAAAATCTGATCTTAAAATCTGAGAAAAAGTTTTCATGTCTCCTTTCTTAAGTACATCACAATTTTTTTTAATTTTATTTAAAAATTCTTAATATTTTTTATATTTTAATTTATTTTATTTTTTTTTTATTTAATAGGTTATCTTTTAACACGGGTCGAAAGAAAAATTGGATCTCCTGAAAAACCCTTATCCGATTTAGGTTTAATTTCGTACCGATCATATTGGAAAGATGTTTTATTGGAGTACTTATGTACACGACATGGAACAACATTAAGTATTAAGGATCTTTCACAGGTATATTATTTTTTTATTATTAGATATTAAACGTAAAGTTTTTGGATTCATTACTTTTATTATTTAAGAATAGTCTTTTAGTTCTAATGTACTGACAAGTACACTGAGAAAAATTTTATCTAAATCAGATATTTTTTATAAACAGAATCGATACGAGCTATATCCGAAATCATGACAACCATACTTTAAAGCTAATTTTCACATAAATGTATTTCCTACCCCCTTTAGTTTAATTCACCTTTAAAAATATACTATTGTGAAATTAGTTGTACTCTGTGCCGTTTATGAAAATAAATTATCTAGTTAGAATAAAAAATATTTCTAAATGGGCTACAATAATGTCGTTTTTAAGTATAAAATGGTATCTCAAAAGTGTACATTTTATTTCGTGTTTTAATATTACTTTATATATATTAGTGTAATATATATTTTAGTATAAAAAGTAACACCTCTTTTGTAAGATCTTTGCAATATTTATAATTATCTTTTTGAAATAATTAATATTTACTTGGGAGATGTTCTTCATTTACATTTTTATATATTACAATATAAAGACTTGTTACGACTTCTGATTTGCAACTTGGGGCTTGTGAATTGTGACTCGTCTTTGCGTCATATTGATCAATTTTAACACGTTTGACTGTAAGAAGCATTGAAATACGTTTATGTCAAAAGATGAAAATTATTTCTACATTGAGTAAACATAATATAGGTTATGAATTATTTTATTTTTAAAGCAGAAATATGATCTTCGAAATAGTCTATCACCACTTTAGATAACCGTTTTTTTTTTCAGTGTAATTGAATTTATAAATGTTCCATGTATATAGAAGCACATTTCTGTTCGAAATTCAGTATATTTCAATTTTTCAATGCGATCAATGAAAACATTTAAGAATAATCTAGTAATTTAGTTGTCATCTATAAATGAATACGTTCTTATTTTTCCCTATCTCAATTTTGTTTTCGCTATAACAAATAACTTCCCCCATTCATCATTTACGCATTTACATTTTTATATATGTCTAAAATTATAATTAATAATTAATTTTCTTTCAATAAATTTAGGATATGGCAATTTATTCATATGATATTGTTAGTACATTACAAGCTTTGGGTATGATGAAATATTGGAAAGGCAAACATATTGTACTGAAAAAACAGGTAAATTAAATAAATGTGAATTTTCTATTTTTACATATACACATTCATTATATTTTATATATATTGTGAACTTTTTCTTATATCATAAAACAGGATGTTCTTGAAGAGTATGAGGAACGTATAAGACGTCGTGGTAATTTCCCAAAGATTGATGAAACATGTTTACGTTGGAAACCGTTTGTACCACCACAAAGTACTGATTCACCATAGAATTGAAATTAACAAAAAAATAAAAGAAAAGTTATTTTGCTCTAATGTATTAGAAAAAATTTTAAAGAAAATTTTCAACTATATTTTTAATTGTAAATAAGAAGCAATTAAATTAAATATTAGTTCTTATTGTGTTCTTTAGAATACGTCTTTACCTCAATATACAAAATATTATAAAAAAAAAAACAAAAAAAAAAATATCTTAGTAGAAATTTTGAGAAAAAAAAATTAATTAACCTTGATGAATCAATTGGCCAATTTATATAAATACACTCAATTTTTATTATAATAAGAAATTTTAATTAAATAAAAAAAATTAGAAATTTTTAAATTGTTTTAGTAAATTAACAAAAAAAAAATTATTTATGAAAAGCCCCACAATAAATATTTCCATTTGACATATAGTTGGGGCTTAATTTTATGATTGTTGTGTGTAAAAATGAAAAACTCGTTAAATTTTTATATTAATTTAAAAATAGTTTCTATATACTCATATTGAGGTACAAAACTCTTCTTTTTTTCTAAATTATTTAAATATGAAAAAATCTGTCTCTTAAATATTAAAAATTTTTAATTAATTTTGTTAAAATTTGTTTTTTTTTGTAATTTCTAAAAACACTTTACAAAAAATTGAATTTTTTTTTAATTTTGTACTTAAATTATTTAAGCATTTCTTAAAATATTAAAAATAATATAAAAAGCTGAATTGAAAATAAACCCCCTTTTTATATAAAAAAAAAAACACAAGTGTGTAAAAGAAATTTAAATGGTATTAATAAAATTAAATTATTTTTATAAATTTAGTTTTTTCTTATTTAAGGGGTTTAAGTATAAAATGAAACGAGAAAAAATGGAGTTGACCACATTCGCATGTGTGAAATTTCAGTACCATGTGGCAGTTGTAAGGCAGCTACCCGAACCGCAGTACCTCGATCCTACCCAATTTAAATAAGGTTCTGGCATTTACTATAAAAATTCATTTGCGAAGATTTGGTGAAATTAGCTTAATTAGTTTTTTAGTTACCGCTGGGACGGACGGACAGGCATAGTTAAATCGAATCAGAATTCGACGCTGATCAAAAATATTCACTTATGTCTCAGATCATTATTTCTTAGCTGTACAAAAGGTAAGGCAAATTTAGTATAGCCTTTAGTATAGTAGAACATAAAAACTGTTTGAAGCTGAAATTTAGAAGGTTATATTTTTTTGGAATTAATTCATATACTGTAAGGCTGAGTTCACTTACTTAAGTTTTGACTACAAGATAACTTATTATTTTAAAATAGTCTGTAGTAGAGCTACTAAAACACCTCTGCCAACAAAAACTCTGGTATCAAAAAGTTTGAAAAATAAATTTTTTACTATCAATATAGACAGTTCAACCAACAAAAGACTTTTTGCAGCAAACTATAAAAACGTGTTGGCTTTACAGATTTGTGTTACAACTGCAAACGTGAATTTAACATAAATTTTTTAATATGAGAAAAATTTAGTTACTTTTCCTGTACCAGTGTTGAGACATATTGAAGGGTTCCATATGGAAGATGCTTTTGCTCTATGTTTTTATTTTTTTTTTAAAAATATGCAAAAATTTTTTGAAGATCATCTTTATTTTATTTAATAAAAATATTTACAAATTATAAATATTACATTTTAAATTCGCGCTGTCGAATCGTTTCTTAACAGGCACAATCTTAATGTAATTCAAAACACTTGATGAGCTAAATCGTAATTCATAAATTCTGTTAAAGCAACTATTCTTGATAGTAACCAAGTTTTTCGTTAGTGGAGAATTGTGGTTATTAAATTTACAAAAAATTTTTTTTACTTTCATTTGAGTAACTACATGTAATAAGTTTTCTTTCATGTGCCTGAAAATGGTTCACGATTGACGATAAGACATTAATCGAATAAAATTAAACTGATAATGAATGCAGTTATTAATAAATACTGATGAACGACACAACAATTACTTTTAATATAAATTTTCAAAAAAAAAAATGTTTTTTTGGGGTACTTGACTTTGAGAAGCGTTAAATTTTCTTTTAATTTATTTTAGCGTTTTTCTTTATTTTGTCATGATATGATCATGTATGAATTTCACCTGTTTTCAAATAATTGAAAATCTGTAATTTAAACGAAAATTTTATGTTTAAATTTTGTGGTTTTTTATAATATTAAAAAAAATTTACAATATTCGAAATGGACTCTCCCCTGTCGCATGTGTGTTTTGTTTTTAATTTAAATTAAACGAAAATTATACAAAATTTATTAAATTCATTTAAAAAAAAATTACATCCCTCTGGAATATGAAAAATTCAATGTTTGCACACTATTTTAAGCATTTTTATTTGCAAATTTTATTGTTATTAATATTGAGTTAAGATTATAATCAGTTTTTACTACTTGAATGTGGTTGAAAATTTTAGTATCTATGGTTGAACTTAATAAGAATGTTTCTATTTAAATTTCAAGAATGAACTGATAACTTTCCCCGAACGAATATTTACAATAAGATAAATTGAGCAAAGCTAAAAAAAATATAATTGTAAAAATAAGAAATCTAATCGAAAAATTATAATTCCAATTTGAGAAGTGATTAAAAACGTAAGATTATGATTTATGCTCTAAATTTTGATCATTGTATTACAAAAAGAACCCTTCCCTCGAATAGATTACTATAGTTATTTGTAAAATATTTTTGTTTTAAATAATCTATATGTTTCGTAGTCTATAAAATTCAGTTTTCCAATTATAGCTCGTAATGGTCCAAATTCTAAAGGCATCAGGCTACATTAGTGTTGACTAAACTTTTAATTTGTACAAATTACAAACAGTTTTTATTGGATTCTTTTACAGATGATGTTTCTAGATAAACAATACTAATACATAAGCTCTTTAGCAGCTTTTTCAGAAACTATTCGTTTTAAGCCCTAATTTGGAACGGAATTTACAAGCAAAAAAAAGCTTGACCAAGTAAAAATTTCACGAAAATTTATTAAACCCTTAAGGTTTGGCACTCTCTCCAGAACAAATGTTTTATTCATTTTTGATCTTCTAACCAATGATATATTTTTTGCATATCTTTCTGAATCACCCTGTATATTAACTTATTAGTTCCTAAGTAAATATATTTATGGTTCTTATGGTTTTGTGTTGTCTGTTTAAGAAAAAGTAATAGTGTAATTTGATTTCTATGTAGAAAAAGTATTTTTAAAATTGTTCCTAATATTTGTCCGAATTCGAAGTATCTTTTTGATATTTTCACACAATGTGTAAAAAAATGAAAATGTAAGCAGAAAGAAAAAAAATTCATTAAAAGAAAAAATGAAAAATTGAACGCGAAGATTTTTCTTTTTTATTTTCTAATTTTTTAAATGGAGAACGAGAACCTTTCCTTTTGAGAACATTTTAATGTATATTTATTATACACAAATGTATAAATATATAATATGTATATAGAATGGCACGCCCTTTATAATCCATTAATTAGATAGTAATGAATGGAATGTTCGTGCAAATAAAAAAATGAACCCGAAATGATTTGCGATATTCGTTTGGTTTTCAATTATAATAAATATGTATATTATATGTACAGACAAACATACATACTTACATTCATGGTATTTTTTTTTTGCATTACTTTCTATTAATTTTTTATTTTGTTGTGCAAAAATTTTGCAAATTCTATTAAACTAACCTTACCACAATCGAGTACGAAATGTGCAAGTCAAAAAATTATGTGATTGTTATTTTCTTCTTCTTCTTTTTGTTTTTGTTTTTTTCCTGTGTTCTTTTTATAAAAGAACTCAACTCTTTCTATATTCGTTTTATCGTTTTGTATTTTTAATTTATTTTTACTTTTTTTTTTCTAAGAGTTCTGTGTTACTTACCTGTGAACTTCTTAAAATATATATTGCATACACATAGGTACGTACATTAAATACGAGTACATGCATCACATATATATATATAACATTTTTTTATATAATTTGGCACGCAAATTTTACAGTCTGTTGATTTTAGCAGGAATTCATTTTTTTTTTTATTTTGTCTTTTTATTTTTATTATTTTTTCATTAAATGTTTGGTGTTTTGTTGCCATTGTTGCAGTTCTCTTAAACATAATAACATTATATATACATATATGTACAAATTACTTACATACTCTGACCACCATTAATATTTTAAGAGGGAAAAAAAATGAGAGAAAATTTCTAATATTATGAATGAAAAAATTTAATGAAAAATTTAAAAAATAAAGATAGTTATCAGTGTCTACTGTAGGAATCAAATTTAGAAAAAAAAACAAAACGAGAAACAAATTGACTGAAAAGAAAAACAAAATGGGCACAAATTTTTTTTTTTCCAAAATAAAAAGAAAAACGAAAGTACAGTTGGTTATTTTTAATGTTGCAGCTGCAATAATTTTCTTTCGTTGTCCTTTAATTTTTTAATAACAAAACTAAAATAAAGGGTCAAATATTAACCTTAATATCCTTTATTATTTTAGTTAATAACGGACTTTAACTTAAATAAAGTTGGGTCAAACCAATGGTTTGTATTGTAGCACTTTTCCCTTCAACAAGTGAAAATTCTGCTTTTAAATACAGTGTATGTATATCCACCACACTATTAAAATTATTTTCATTCATATTTAACTATTTCTAGGATTGCATATATTTAGGATAATGCATTCATGCAGTCTTTGAAATAAAGCAGAAATTAATATAAAGAGGGGTTAACATAATGCTCGATTTTAAGGGTTAATTGTGTGAGTTAAGAAAAATAATTATATTTTTTAATTTCATGGAATTTACCGTTAGCTTTTTGCGTTTATAAAAATTTGGAAAAGCTTGCGGTTTCGGAAATATAAGGTGTCAAAAATTCAAATTTTACGAATTTCAAGAGGTGATAACTTGAGAGGGGGTGGAGATGGAAAAAAATTTTCTTCTAACAAAATGAACATTTTGTTAATATCTATAAGTCCCTAAAATTTCAAGCTTCTACAGGCTAGGGTCTAGAAGAAAAACGACATCAAAAATTTGGAAAAAACGGACTTTAGATAACGGTAAATTTGAGCGGCCATTTTGTTTTTCTAAAGTTAACCTTTAGTATACCCCGCTAGGGGAAGCAAGCCACTGCCTTTCTGCGTTTGCAAAATTTGAAAAATCCTTATGGTTTCATTGCACTAAATAGTTAAAGAATGGCATTTTTAGGGTTTCGGGGGGGTATAACTTCTAAAGGGGG